AGCCAACACCAATCCTGAGGAAGCAGTTTCTTGCTTTGCTCTGTCAAAGAATGATTCTTATGTCATGTCAGCATCAGGGGGCAAAATTTCTCTATTCAATATGATGACCTTTAAGGTAATCTTTTAACTCAGTAACACAAAGTGTTCTTATTTTCTATGTTAACAAATTTGGCTTGCGTTTATTGCAGACAATGACAACTTTCATGGCTCCGCCACCTGCAGCGACATTTCTTGCATTCCATCCTCAAGACAACAACATTATTGCTATAGGGATGGACGACTCTACAATCCAAATCTACAATGTCCGAGTTGATGAGGTACGAAGAAAAAGAAACAATATTGTTTGCTTTATTGAGAAGGGAAAGTTAGGTTCTAACCAATTCTTTATACAGGTCAAGAGCAAGCTTAGAGGCCATTCAAAAAGAATTACTGGTCTTGCCTTCTCAAATTCTCTAAACGTTCTGGTCTCATCTGGAGCTGATTCTCAGGTGACATTTTATCTTACATATGGCAACATATGATTGTTACAATTTTTGTTCTGCTGGAAACTGGCCCCAGCATTGGTGCTGTGTCAATACACTTAACTTGATTTCCTCGTATTGAATCTTCATGGAAGTTTTCAAGCCCACTTTCAGATTTTATCATTTCTGGTCTTTCATATGAACAACTTAAATATCATAAGGAAAATTTTGGAACCTCATGTCACTTTACTATGTTTCTTCTGCAGCTTTTTGTTTGGGGAACTGATGGATGGGAGAAACAAAAGAACAAGTTCTTGCAAATTCCATCAGGTCATAGTTCACCTACTGTTTCAGATACCCGTGTTCAGTTCCATCAGGATCAGATACACTTCCTAGCTGTACATGAGACCCAAATAGCTCTATATGAAACCAGTAACCTAGAGTGTGTTAAGCAGGTATTGTCTTTTCTGAGAACTCCAGATTTCAGTTCCTCAAATACTATATTTGCTTTATTTGTTAACTTGTGAAAATTCGGTCTATAGTGGGTTCCACGTGAAGGTTCTGCGCCAATCTCCCACGCCACATTCTCTTGTGACAGTCAGTTGATATATGCAAGTTTCTTGGATGCTAGCGTTTGCATATTTAATGCTGCGAATTTCAAGCTGAGATGTCGAATCAATCCTGCCGCCTATCTCCCTGCTAATCTCAGGTAGTTTTTGCTTCTGAAAAATACTGGCTTCTTACCTGTAGTGCACTGTAATATATGGTTATTTTATCTTTAGTCATGCTGTTAATCTTTCCCTTCATTCCTCTCTTGATATTTCTTGATGGTCCAACTTGCATGTTCTTGACTTCTATGTAACAAACTGTAGTTTGGTAATTTGGCTGTTAATTTGAAAATACTTAGCTTACTATCTCATATGTGTTGCTTGCCCATCAATTATACATTTTCTTTAAGATTCTATATCTTCTCTCTAATTATAAAGCAGTCCATTATCTTGTCTCGTCTTTCGAACAATATCATCAGCAAACTAATACATCAACTCTCCTATAAAACGCACCTAGGAGCTTACATTTATAACAAATGTAAAGGACAATGACTTAATTTCAGACCTTGATGTAAGATATGATATTCAAGAGTTGATTGGTACTCGTACTTATATTTCTCTATCATGCATCTCTCTAGTCACAACTTAAATTTCTCTATCATGCATATCTTTAGTCACATAAATAACATTATCGGGCAGACAAGTCTTTCTTCTTGAAACAACATATCATTAAGAAACTTGAAAGGGCATGAAGCACTGTTGTCCTTAGAATGATACATTTAACTACCCTATATTTCCTGCAATTTTAGAACAGTACATTTGGCTACCCTATATGACAAACTTGGGAATTAATTTGAACTGTATGGACACTACTTCCTAGTTCCTACTTTCATAATTTTAAACAACCGTATTCTTTTTAAATATGTTTTGGGATTTTCTTCTATATAATTCTTAAAGACACGAAGCAAAATGCTTAGTATATGCTATGCCTACGGACTGTATCATGATCTCTTCTAACTTCCTATCTATGGTTCTTATGTGATTCTAGCTCAAGCGTCTATCCAACTGTAATTGCTGCACATCCATCAGAACCCAACCAACTTGCCCTGGGACTTACAGATGGCAATGTTCATGTATTGGAACCGTTAGAATCCGAAGGTAGATGGGGAGCTGCTCCACCCGCTGAAAATGGATCTGCAAGCAGCATGTCCCCAGTGCCTCCGGCTGGATCATCAAGTTCAGATCAACCTCAGAGGTGATAGAAATTTCAAAGTTCCCCAACCATAACATAACTAAGGTAAAAGCGTCATATCAGTACAATAAGCATCCGTATTATATTATGGGTTAGTTGCATACACACCCCCTATAGTATGAACGTACAGCCACTAATATTCCCTAAACAATCTTATTATAACTTGAAATTCCAGAGCTCTGGACGCTGTTGTTCCCCAACTTAGGTTGATATGTCATACGAGAATCACGTGATTACGAATCACCTTTTGTTCTTTCTTTAGCCGGAAAAATGACCAAAGAAAAAAAGATAAAAAGGGAAAAGAAAAGAAAAAAAAAGTACTATCCCTTGAGGTTCAGGGAGTTTAGGTGATAATGAAAAAGCTTTTTCAAGGCATATAAGTGACTGTAACATCATAGTATGTGAGGTGCATCTGGAGTAACTAATCCCTATATTATTGTTTATTTACATTTTATTACAATTTCATTAGTGTCTTTTCCCCCTCTACGCAGCCTAGCTATCCGAGGTAGCAGCAGTGGATGAATATATGCCAGCAATATGCGCAAAGGGTCATTTGGTAGACTTCCTGTCAGCTTAATATCTACATATATTTGCAATGTGAGAACATAAATATATGGTTGTAGGCCTTAATTATCTGTTTATTTGGGTTAGACTTTCCTTCTGTTAATATGGTATCAAACTAAGTTATAGAACCTAGCTTGTAATTATGCTCGTCTAGTTTCAAGTAACTGTATGAATAAAGAAACCTTTGATGTGGGTAATATTATGGAGCCGGCCGGTTCCCTGGTATTTGAATTTCAATCTGAAAATGTTCTCTGACATGTGAATTTTTATTTGAAAGCTGATGAAAGAATGTTTATCTCAGATCAATAGACTCGACGATACAATAATGTTTCTCTCAGATCAATAGACTCGACGATTATTGTATCAGAGGGAGATGACCTCTCTTATTAGTATTTATTATTCAGAGATTGAAAATAGTTTCATTGGATCTCAACTGCATCGTTCAGTGAGCAATGGAGCAAAGTCTCCTCCCCTTCCCTTCTCCCTCCTAATACTTTAATTTACTCCTTAATATGTTTGGGAGTTCACTTAGGGAAGGGGAGGGAGGGGAAAATTTCTCTTTCGTTCCCTTCCCCTTCATTACCTCCTAATTTGGGGTGTAACATTTTGGCACAAATTTCTCACCCATTCACTCCTCTACCCTCTTAAATGCAGCTCTCAAACAAGGTTAAACTTACGTTTCTCCTCCTCTCCCCCCTCTCTATCCTCCATCCAAACAGACCATAAATTAGTTTAATGTTATGCAGGATCCTTTGCTTTGCTATGATCTTTCTTTGTGTATAAATTTATTTAGAAAAATTATATCCAGGATCTTAACTTATTTTATACCATTATCACTTGTTGGTCTTGTGATATACTTGGAGATAACGATATCTTTATCCAAAACCAAAATGGTTTTCGATCGCATCAGCAACATTTAGAACACTTTTTTGGGATGCGACGTTAACCTTCTTTGATTGTTATCTTCAGTTTTAGCCAAATGACATCATCATACACTTAAAAAGAGAGCATCTCTATGATTAATTAGCAAAGAGGAAGTACAGGAGCTAAAAGTTATGGAAAAGACATTGCATCCGTTTAGATATAGGGTCTGTTCGTTTGCCAAAAAAAGAGGGAAATCAAAGAAAATGAAACCTATTTCTAAGAAAAATAGGTTTTTGAATTGTTTGGTTGGCTAAAAAAAGAAGGAAATCAAAGAAATGGAGATGAGATGAGATGAGTTGTCACATTATTATTGGATGATGTGAGTGATTTTTTAAGAAAACTAGTTTTGATGTTGTTTGGTTGGCGAAAAAAATAAGGAAATGAATTATAAGAAACCTATTTCCTGTAGTTTGTTGTTTTCTTTTGTTTGGTTCATTCTTAAAAATAAGAAATAAAATGAGATGAGATGAGTTGTCATTGTATTATTGGGTGAGAAAAGATTATATAAGATTAATTTTCAAAGTTAGATAGTGTTGGAAATTAAGGTGAAATTTGGAATTGAACAGTGAAGGATGATGTGCTGTTATTTTAAAATTTTCAATTAACTGTTGTGCGTTTGTGAAAACGCTATGCTTAAAGCAATATTTGGCCTACTCCGGTGCAAGGATCCCAAGGCCAAACTGCTTTCAGGAACAACTGTACAGTACTCTGGTGTGCACCAACCCAGTACTGTCAAGATCTCCTCGATCTGTAAGACATTTCGGTCAAGGCAAAAGATCTCCTCGATCTCAGAACATTTCGGTTCAAAACCTTTCGGTTTCAAACCTTTCGGTTTCAGGGTTCCTGCGGGCACAGTTCTGCAGCAGCAGCACAACAACAACGTCAATCTGACGTTCGTATTCCAAGCTCGCGTGGGTATACCGACGTTCGTATTCTATACTGACGTTCGTATTCCACACTCGCGAGAGAGTTTTTCCAACAACAACCAAGAGCTGCCCAATGACGCTATTTATAGGCCTCTAAGACCAGCTCAAGAGTCATTAGCAATTAATGTGACTGTTACAATTCTTAATGACAATTAAGATTGTAACATCAATGCATTAAATTGCTCTTAATATTATTGTAACTGCTGCATGTAGTAACTGCTGAATACGATGCAATCAATGGACGCGTTGCTACGAAACGTGAGGGTCACGTCTCAGCATATCAGACGAACCTCGTTTGATAAACGAACGTCGTCAAACAGGCGAACCTCGTATGACAGACGAACATCATCGAACGAGCGAACATAGTCAAATAGGCGAACCTCGTATGACATACGAACCTCGTCGATCGAGCGAACCTCATCAAACAGGCGAACCTCGTATGACAGACGAACCTCGTCAAACAGGCGAACCTCGTATGACAGACGAACCTCGTATGACAGACGAACCTCGTCGAATGAACGAACATCGTCTGTTAGACCCTAGAGGGGGGGTGATTAGGGTCTTATGCTAATCTAATCCGATTAAATACCAATTAAAATTAATTAACAAGTTATCCTAGCAAGTATGAAATACAACAAGATATGTAAGCTAGGATAAGCAATATGAACAAATGAATATATCCTATCAATAAGATATTACAAGATATGAGCAAGGATATATAAACTAACACAAGGGTGAATTAAACAATCTACACAAGTGATAGGGTAATATGATGAGCAATACACAAAGGCGATATAAGATATGAAAACAAAGAATAAAGAAGCTTCCAAATGCAATCAAACACAACAAAACGATATGTTTACAGGAGTTCGTCCCCACACCTACGTCCCCAATCTCCTCACCGACGACGCATCTCCATCTATACAACAACGACGTTTTACGTACGAACAACGTCTTACACCTCACAATAACCAATCCACTTATGTATCACAACATCACACATCTAAGAGTGTGCCACCACTGACATCAAATCACTCATTCATCGTTTACAACCTTCCCTAAGCAGCGTCAACGACGAAGCCACTCCTCTTGATCGCACCACAGTCTTCACCACACCACTTCTCTCGTGTAGCAAGTGTATTAAAAGTGATAATCCTCACAATAAGCACAAATAATCAAATGATTTTTTCTACTAAACAAGTGAGAACTCAATTAAGCACAACCTAAGTCACTAATCTCACAACATCCAAAATTATAATAATGAATGTAAATACACATGATCTCAAGTGTTTTTTGAACAAAGAGATAAATAAAATCAACATAAATCTCATATGAACACTACTAATAAAAATAATCAATACCAAAAAAATATGAAAGCTAGATTAGTTTAGAAAACTTCTCAAAGTAAATCAAAGTGTAAGAAATAGATGGAATGCTCAAAACACCATACATAGATGATCTCCCAACTCTGTGGAAGATACTAAA